TTTTTTTTTTTTTTTTTTTTTTTTTTTTTTTTTTTTTTTTTTTTTCAGATTTCCCATCTCGATTTTTTTCAGTGATAAAAGTCAGTATACTTTCTTACCCTTGGCATGTAAAGGTGAAGGTGGCCTTAAAGTCATGAGGTTGTGAGAAGTGTACGGTTCCTCAGGTCCACTTTGACTTCTCTCATTCTCTTACTCGAGAATCCAACTTTCCGCCTTCACCGGGGCAGATTCTCAAGCAAATGAGCGGTGGTGCAATTCTCATTTTGTAGAAAGGGTTGGGCCGGAGGGCGCAGGAGGTGGCGAATGGTCTTCAGATTGGCGCGGCGGACGCTTCACGGCTTCACGAGCCGTTGACGAGTTTCTGCGCAGGAGCAGCGGGGGGGGGGCGAAATAGGCGAAGCGAATGCCAACGCATTGTTATTTCATAACGAGACATTTTTTGAAATCATGTATTGTTATGTGAAACAACGTAATTCCCCTGCGAGGTAAATGTCACTGGATGTTATTGACCCAACTAATACATCCATGCGCTCAATGCGTGCAGGATAATATTGAAGTTATTTTCGCCTCCGTCTTGCTTTTTATTCTGTTGCATTTCAAAATTGCTTGAGTATCCACTTAGAAAAATTACAGAAATTTATGAAAAAATCAATACATCAATGTGGTTGTTAGAGCAGGTTTGACTGTATTTAACGTAACAAAACGCACTTTTCGATGTTTACTAAATTGTGATTCTTTTATGCACAGCTAATGCTGAATCAAGATAAGGAGAAGCACCCTATAATTTTTCTAAAAGACATGAAATACAAAGAATTGCAAGCAATTCTCGAATACATGTATCGGGGTGAAGTTGTCATACCTCACGACCAACTTACTTCTCTACTTCAAGTCGCGGAATCGCTTCAGATCAAAGGATTGGGCTGTGGAGAGAAGTCGCAAACTCCCACCGGCAATCGGGGTTTAATTCAAACCCACCCACAACAGCTGCCACAGCCACAGCCACAGCTGCAGCCGCAACCACTGCAGCCGCCGCCGCAGCAGCAGCAGGCGGCGCTCCTCCAGCAGGTGGTGGTGAAGCCGGTGCAGGCGCGCCCGCCCGCGCCCGCGCGAGGCGTGGAGGCGGCGCCGCAGGTGGTGGACCTGACGGACGAGCCGCGCATCGGCGCCCCGGTACGCCCCGCGCCCGCCGAGGCCGCCAAGCGCCCGCTGCCGCAGGCCGCCAGCAGGGCCAAGCGGGTGGCGTACCCCGCCGCTGTGCTGGACAGGTTCAATCAGAGCACCCTGGCTTCCGCAAGCCCCATCGCCGTGCACAGCGTGCACCAGCAACAAAACGTCATCGTCACCAACGCCTCTCCCGTTCCCGTGGCTTCTGTTCAGACCCCGCCGAAAGCCAACCCGGTCGGCAGCAGACAAACAAATGAACCGGGGGGCCAAGGTGTAGTACAAGTATTAATGCCTCCTACTCAACGCCCTGAGACGCACGATATACGCGACGCTGGCAATCAACCGGAGCCCCACAAGTCCAAGCCGAGGACGGTCCCCAGAATCCTCCAGAGAAAATCTAGTGTGCTGCAGCCTAGTCCCCGGCAGAGTAGTAGCCCGGTGGCGATGCCATCCCAGAACGCTCTAGTCAGTGCTCCGAGACCTCAGCAGCTCCAAATTGCTTCTAAAACGGAAGCCGCTCCCGCCACAGAGACCAACTCAGCAGGTCAAGCCATTACCAGTGAAACTGCCGCAGACAAGGTGGGCAAAACCGCCACTGCCACGCCCCCTCCGGCGGTGGAGCAGGCGAACGGCGCTGCGAAGCAAGTGCGCGACAGCGAGCCTCAGGATTCGCTGGACTCGGCGGAGCCAGCCGAGGACGTGGGCGGTGAAGATCCAGGTCCGGAAAGTCAGAAGGAAACGGCGGCGAAAAAGAACACAGCGTTAGACAAACCAGGACCATCTGGAGTTGGAAAGGCCAAAGCAGGTTAGTGAAGCGTTAAATTCAGTTTTAAACATATGAAAACTCTCTGTAGTGTAGAATATTGAAACAAGTAATAGTTTCCTATGCTTTAATTCTTTTTTTTTCTTCAACTAATAAACTGAACAATGTTAAAGTTTCATTTTCCCCCAAAAACTACAAATATACAAATATAAGCGTTTGGGAATCAATGATTTATGATCGAATACTGGAATCATGTATAGTAATTTTTGAATAATTTTGCCTGGACGTTCTTATAGAGCTTGTAATTTTGACTAGCCATTTCTCGGGATTCAGTCTTCTAGTCATATACAGCGGGAGTAGGAGAACAAGTACTTTCAAAAGCAATATTGGATTTTGTTATAATTCAGTTAGAATTACAGACCGCATTATAACTTCATGATCGTGGCAAAACAATGTGGCCCCATAATACCATTTTCTTACTTAAAAATTTTAAATAAAATTAAAATAATTCAATTATTTGCTTCGATTTGTACACAATGGCACTTGAAGGTGACGTGTAGAAGGAGAGGGGAACGCCATCCACTCGGGAGCTCCAATACAAAAAGTTTAAATCGTAACGAAGCTTCAGATCGGATGAGTGCCCTCTCCTTCCAGCTCGTGGTCTTGACCATAAAGTGTAGCAGCGACTGGTTGCGCTGGCGCAGGGCGGCGCGGGCGGCTGCCGGCGTCGGAGCGCCGCTTCCAGTGCACCGAGTGCGACAAGCGCTTCACGCAGAAGAACTACCTGGAGAACCACCTGCGCATCCACGACGGCGAGTGCTACGAGTGCGACAACTGCACCAAGACCTTCCTGACGCGCGCGGCGCTCGTCAAGCACCTGCGCGCGCACGCCGCCAGGGCCACGGCGGCGCCCCCGCACAAGTGCCAGCTGTGCGGCGCCGTCTTCCCCAGCTCCGGCGACCTTGAGAAGCACTTGACGGACCACACCATGGCGGGCGCCGACGACCCCTGAGCGCACGGGACGCCCATTAGGAGCTCACGCAGCGCTTGACACGGTAATCTCACCTTGCTTAAACTCACTACTACCAAGTAATACATTTTTTTAACTTTCTCATGAGGACTTGGCCATGATTAAGCAACTCTCTTGGATTTAGATGGTTAAGTTAAATTATGTGATGTTTATCAATTTGACGGCTTTCCGTCAGGAGAGTAGATTACACAACATTTAAGTGACTGCATTTTGCAAAGTACAGCATAAAAAGTTTACTTGCAAGTGCTGTTCTTAAATGAATGAACAGACGTCAAAAAACAACTGTTTTTCGAGGACCTCAAAGTGTATAAATCCGACCTCTCTGAAGTTGCCACTACAACATACCACAAAACCGAAAGCAAATAAGTTTTCTATAACTCAGAAACGAAAATGACCATTTTTCAAATATTGCTAATTTTATGAGTTTTAAAATTTATTTATTTATTTATTTATGTTAAACTTTTACTCACCTTTCAACTATTTATAGTTAAAATGACGGGAGGGGATTCTGGAACTCAATAAAAGTTGCACGACTAATCTTTTCCCCCCTACGTCACATACAGATTTTACTGACTTTTTTACTGAATAAATCTGAAATCAAATACTCCACTATTTAGAACTAATTGTTAATTAATTACATTACCATTAAGTTTAATTTTTAATTTATTACACAATTTGTTTTCTCTCGAAACTTCCGAGTACCGTAATGCTGAGCTGCCATACCACAAAACAAATACGCCGTTTTGCAGTGCGATTTAATTGTTACTTACGTAAAATTAATTTAATTGCTCTTCAAAATTCAGAATAATTTGAGGAGCTGCGGGTATGCCTGTAATGAGGTTAATAGCACCGTGGCGATGTTTCTCGATACAACCCGATACAATTCAAACAATATAATTTCAACAAAATAAACTTGTAACTTGATACCGCTGATTTCTAACATACTACGATAAAAGCAAGTCTTTACTAACATACTGTAGATTAGGAAACGCATATGGTAAATCAGCAAACATAATTAAAGTTTATGGAGGACTTTTATGAACATAAAGTATTGGCATAATTTTCATTAGAGTATTTTGGTCTGATCAGCAACGCAAATACAATACCCAAGTTCGTCCTCCGCTGGTCCGCCGTTTCATTTAAATCTGCCACCTCCAGCCAGATCCCATGCGGCCGAAGGGCGCTCCCGTCAGCTCACCACATTTACTAAAATTACCAAAGAAGGGATTTTTACTTTCTCGCGTTGCTACGGACGTTGTCAAGAAAAAGTGTTGTAATGTTGTGACAAAACACGATTTTTCGATAAATGGGATTCTATCGAAAAATCCGCTGTTTAGATTACCGTTGTTTCAGCCAAGCCGTGTTTCCACTGGCGTCAATTTACGGTTCTGTACGGTGAACATCAAATCATTTGCACCATGGTGAATGTGCTGATTTCCAGTTCAACAATAAATGATCAAAGCTTAGTAATTTATCAACTTCTCAGGAGAAAAATTGAAAGAATTAATATATTGACAGCAGTTCTTGAAAAGGCCTTTTAAAGACTAACATCCATTTCGTGCACAATTATTTCCTCACAATGCCCTTTATCCAATTTCTTTTGTATTTCATTTGATTTATTGAATTACACAAATGCTAACATATGTGTTAATTTGAATTGTAAGTAATGAGATACGTTTTATTGTTTAAGTTAATTTATTTTAATGAATGTGCTGATTTGTTTCAGGTGTCTCTTGTATATTCAGGTGGCTCTTGGCTATTCATATTGGAAAAAGCTGTGAAAATCCATCAGCAATTTAGTATTCAATATAAATACTTATGTTGTGTTGATTTAAAGTTTGTAAAATGATTTTGAAGAATAGTTTTAAAATACATCCCCTGTATTACTATTATATTGCTTCTTTTAACTTTTTTATTTCTTTTGAAACAACTCTTGTATTTGTAATAAATAAAGTGTGTGTTCCATAAACTAAGTGCATCCCAAAGTCATATTGATCCATCACCTTGTATAAGGACATCTCCAGACGCCAACATTCCATATTTGCCTGCACGTTTTCACCGTAGACGCAGCTCATCCTTTAGTGATTTTTGTTGCAATATTTCATTCTTCTTGGAAGAAAGACAACTAGTGGTTGCTACAGAATGGCACATACTTTCCCGTATTCGTTTTTTATCTCCATTGGTCTCGGCAAGCTATTCGGACTTGCCACATACTCTTTACCAGCTGCCATGTATACTGTTCAAAGTGGATTTTTGTTTTTCAAATCTTTGTTAATTTTTGTGCTTCCTAATAGTAGAATCGAATTATTACTTTAAAAATATTAAAGAACAGAACATCGTCCTAAATGGAAAATTTCATTGGTAATTCAAAAGGTGTGTAAGAATACCAATTTTGAATCAAATTTTGAAGTTGAAATTTATAATGCAGTTTGTAATATAGCATGTTTGTGCAATAGTGTTATTACACTCTACACATCCGAAAAGCTGTTCCACATAAAACTGTCCGCCATCGCAATCTTCTTCCCTGACTCTTAAATTCAAATAGCTTACAATATTCTACTAAATATATACTAATTATTTAAAAAATAAATATTTTTTACTCTACATCTAAACAAGGGGTGACAATGAAGCACTTTCCGTGAATATTTGCGAATTTGAAACTAATTTGAAGTTAAAATTTATTACGCAGTTTAACTTCCTAGTGAACTTTTACATGTAATAATTTCAAAATTGTATCTTGTCCCTCAACAGTGTAGTACACTCTACCAACCCGAAAAATTGGGAGCGGGTCCAAACAGGGGTGTCCGCCGCGCACGCCCGTTCCTTGAAATTCAAATTCAATTAGCCTTTTTTATTCTGCTACTAATATACTAATTTTGTAACAAAACAAATAAGTTTGTTCTCAACTAAAAGCAAATAAAGAACAGGTACAAATAATGATTCTTCGTGTAAATTTGCTATTTTTTAAACACAAATGAAGTCAGATTGGGAAATTGTAATCTATTAAGCAGTTTGGTGTTATAGTGAACTTTTAATGTTATATTTTCAAAAGTTTATCTGATCCCTTAACGGAGATTACGGTCTACACAAACGAAAGATTCAAGGAGCTCCATACAGAAGTGTCCGCTATCGCACCCCCTTCTCAGATATTTAAAATCAACTAGTCAATAATCTTTTATTAATAATGTAGTAATTTTGTTACAAAATAAGAAAAATTGTACCTGACTTTAAACTACGAAAAAAACGAAAATATTACCGGCCGTTATTGAGAAAATATTTCCTTTAATTGCCATTATTGAAGCGTAAGGTACACAAAATCTATTCATTTTTCAAAAAAATTGTTAAGGCCTTTGTTAATGATCTTCCTTTGGAAAACGATATTAATAAACAAATTTGTATCATTGAAGTGGAAGTTGAAGAAATAGAAAAAAACCAAATTCCTGCTTTTTTGAAAATTAATTGCTCTGCTCAACAAATATATATATTGTAACGGTACAAGCTCCTGCGTTGAAAAATGTACATGAAAAAAAATAAGAAAAAAATAGCAGACGC